GGTCGTATCCTTCTTGGGGTTGGAGTTGGATTTGCTAATCAGTCAGTACCTATTTATTTGTCTGAGATTGCTCCCTACAAGTACAGGGGTACATTCAATGTTCTGTTCCAATTGGCCATTACCGTCGGGATCTTGATAGCTAATATCGTCAATTTCCTTACTAACAAGATCTCTGCCGGTTGGGGATGGAGGGTCAGCTTAGGTGGTGCAGCCGTGCCAGCACTAGTCATTTTGATTTCGTCCTTGTTTCTCGACGATACTCCCAGTTCGCTGATCCAAAGGGGAAAATCAGAGGAGGCAGAGCAACTCTTGAAAAAAATCAGGGGAGTTGACAACGTCGATGCTGAATTGAAGGACCTTGTGGAGGCGAGTGAAGCATCTAACAAAGTAGAGCACCCATGGAAAGTCCTTCTCAGAGTCAGAATGTACAAACCCCAGTTGATTTTATCGACTCTGATCCCGACATTCCAGCAGCTAACAGGGATTAACGTGATCATGTTCTATGCTCCCGTGCTTTTTCAAACGCTAGGCTTTAAGGCCAATGCTTCCCTCATGTCCGCTGTCATCACCGGGGCTGTCAATGTGGGTGCAACTTTTATTTCAGTGTATTGTACAGACAGGTATGGAAGGAAGGTGCTTCTCCTCACGGGTGGCGTCCTAATGTGTGTATTCCAAGCATTAGTTGCAGGTCTTATTGGGTGGAAATTCGGAACTACAGGGGTGGTCGCCACTGTTTTGCCTCAGAGCTACGCAATATTAGTGGTTCTGTGTATCTGCGTATTCGTGGCTGCCTTTGCATTCTCATGGGGTCCATTGGGATGGTTAATTCCCAGTGAGATTTCTCCACTGGAAGTTCGATCTGCAGCACAAAGCGTCACTGTCTCCACGAACATGTTATTTACGTTTGCGGTGGCACAAGTTTTCTTGAAGGTGTTGTGCTGGATGAAGTTTGGGTTGTTCATCTTCTTTGCTGCCTTTGTGTTCATAATGACTCTCTTTGTCTACTCTTACGTGCCGGAAACGAAGAATATACCGATTGAAGAGATGTCCCGAGTGTGGAGAGAGCATTGGTACTGGAAGAATTACATGGATGAACAATCACCTGCAAAGGAAGCCGTCTAGAGTACTACTGATTAGGATTACCACATAGTTTATTGTTTTAGTATAGTCGTTTTTTAATCTATAGTATATATTCTCTCTGTTTTTTTTTTTTTTATGTTCTGGAATTTTTGGGTGCTCTTAGAATCTGTTAATTTTACATACCAGTGTTCGTGCAATATATTTGTGTTTTTTAATTTCTAATTACCTACCGTGATAATGGAATATGGGTATATATATATATATTAGTTCTGGACACTTACCTTGTAGGCTGTAGCAATATAGTTAGCATTCATCGTTACCTAATATGTAGCAAAAAAAAAATTATTACTTGCATGTTAATACATATTCTAAAATATTAAATTTATAGCATACAAATATTTATATATATATATAACACCATTTTTATTGTAATAACTATATGTTAAATCAATTTTTGAGAGAAGCAAACCCTATCCCTTACATATCTCACGAATCTGACCTGGTGCCACCAGATAGATCGAAGATGGTGGTCTTCATCATACGTGAAGTTTTGAAGGTCTTCATCAGAGTTGAATATGTCAATTATTCTGATTCCAATATTTGTGACTTCATGGACTGATTATTTATGAGAGTTGAATAGCTGTTATAAATAGTAACCTGTTACTGATTCTTAACGACAGGGTGATTACTTCTAAATTTACAATTTTCCAATATTATTATAATATAAGAAAAAGAAATCTATTTAGAGAAGACCATAAACTCTCTTGCAGCAGAAAAAGGTTGCAAGCAATGACAACGAGCACAAGATGAGTAAAGCCATCACAAAAGCATCAAAAATTGAAACATTTGATACAATCATGTATCTTTAGTACAGAGTGCAAAAAACAACTGACCAAGATCAGTTGCAAAATAAGGAGCATAGACAAAGATGCTCAGGCCCCAAAATTATATCAAAGCTAATTTCTTGGTCAGAACTCTTATTATTCAGAAGGCAGCCTCTTGGATGTCTGGTACAACTACATTTTTAGGGATATTAAAATTTATGTTCAAGGGTAGCACAGGATCAACAAGGTGCAAAAGGAAAATAACAAATTTCATTTTTTAAATGAAGTTTCTGATGTCCAGAGACTTCACAGTGGGCATCTCCTCATCCTTGAACTCCTCCCTGCAAGTACAGAGAATTCAAATTCAAAATCTGCGAGAAAAACAAATAACCCAACATACATGTAGGGGTAAGAGAATGAGCAAGCAAAGCCCTATTTATTACCTCTTCTTCTGAGTTTCCATTGCTTCAAGAGCATCCTTTTTCAGTTCTTCTAACTGTGCCTTTGCAATCTTCAGCTCCAACTGTTCTTCGTATTTGGGCAATTCTTCTTTACGAATGCCAAGCCTAAGGCATTTTTAAAAAAAAACATTGATGATCAATTACCTACATAAACTCTGAATCATATATCATCTGAATCACAATGGCTCATACTACATGCTGCTGAGTAAAATAGGCCACAGTTTTTGGTTAGGGTAAAGTAAAATACCCCCAAATAAGTCAACAAATGGCTGAGTAAAATTTTTAGGATGCTGGTTTTGATCATTTACATAACGAACGACCAACTGCTCCTCAAAATTTGTAGACAATCAAAAATTGAAGCACTTGCAAATAGAATCAATTAACGTCTGCATAAGGAAGCTTACTTCTGGTTGATCTTATCAAACTCAGCTGTAAGAAGAGCTATTCCCTTTTTGTCGTTCCTCAGTAGTGGCTTTTTTAATTCTTTCTCAACTTTATCCAATGCTGCCATCTGCAAATCCTCTATACCTTGAGAATCGATGAGGCCCCTCCTGACCAGATAATAGATGAAAAAGAATGGGGAGTGAAGAAGTGCTGATACACCTTATGTCTAAAGGATGAATAAAATGTCTGTCTATGAGATATGGAACAAGACAGGAGAACACAATTACTCAATAAAGCAATAATTACTGGTAAGTTGAGAAAGCAGGCTAATGAAATTGGAGCACATAGACGCTTTCTTGCTCCAAGCCCATTACTGAAGTTACTAAAATTGCAACATTAGGAATCATGTTCAAATTTCAGAATTCATTGTAGGATACAAAGGGATATCAGTGAAAATCAACCAATTGTGTGAAAGATAACTAAGAGCATACTGCCTTTATTATTTATTTACTAATTATTGATAAAGAAGCATACCATCTTATTTTTTTAAATACCAAAAGCATGTTGCATGATAACTCACATAACTCATGAAATATTATAACTAGCAGGTAAAAGATAAGCATTAGAATGCATACTTGACACGCATCTCCTTCAGTTTCAACAAATATGTTCGGGCATCTGGAATTTCATGTGTTTCTACTTCGATGTTGAACTTAATAATTTCAGACTCTGATAAGAGATTAGCCCTGCGAACATGGGAAATTATAACATTAGCAATTGATCATAAAAAATTATATAAACTAACCAAATAATGCAGCATGCATGTCCATAAATAAAACTAAGTACTGTTTGACCATGCAATAAAATAGAGGTTTCTACCTTCAGGTACATGAAAATAACATGTGATTCTTGATGAACTAAGGTATAATGTGGATCAACGTAAAAGAATTACTGGGACGCCAAACAAAATAAACAAGGACGGACCTATTTTCACATTATTAATAGATAGTTAACAAACTAAATATGGTCCATCTCCAGCAAGCATCTTGATGTAATGGCAAAGCACATTAATGGTAACAAGAACTAAATTTAGGAATAGCTGAACCTTCAAATGAACAGCTGAGTAGGATGTTCAATATGAATTCTGAACCACGTGCTATCAGAGTTTAGGTCAGCCACCAAGTGCTGAACTGTTTCTCTGGTATTTACAAACTAAAATTGAACTTCATAAGAAAAGGTTAGGTATCCTACTTTTGTCTAACAGTCTTCATGACTTTCGCATACTCAGATACAGCAGCAGGATCTTCTGGTTCTATGGTGATCTTCTCCTTTCGTAGGACACCAATTGCTGTCTCAAGCTTGTTCTTAACCTCATAAAAGATGTCCTTCAATACCTCTTCATAAGCACACAAAAAGTCAGTGTCACAGCAATGCAACAATACACAAACAACATTGCAATAGTACAAGCCCAGTTTGATTGCCAGAAAAAATCCACATACTATTACCAAGACAGATAGAATTATTAGGTCAGGTGACAAGACTCTAAGAGGACAGTTTTGATCAAGGCCTGACAAGAAAAATAATATAGTATTTCTAAAACATTAGCCCATTAGGGATTTTCTGGCACAAGATTTCCCTAGTTAGTTGAAACAAATAAATAAAGTTGAAGAAAAGCTATCTGAAAGCATACACCCTATCAATGGAGAGACAGGTGAATTAGATACCAAGACCAAACTTAAACTCTATATTGTCCTGCAAACACCAGTATCAGAGTTTTTTATGAGTATGCTATTTCCAGCTTAGTTCACCCTAAAAATAAATGTTACTATCTTGTGCCTTCCTGTAGAGACAGTAACAGTAAAGTATATGTCAATTGGGCCTGCATCACCTATCTAGGAGCATAAAGCGTCTTAGTGTTAAACTACTTCATTGAGATACAAAGGATGCACCAGATGCGTCTCGCATACAACTAATAATGAGGAAAAGCATTATGCTTATTAGAAAAGTAGATGAGACTTAACTTATGCTGTAAGAGGATAGTGTTGGCTGCAGTACTCAATCATAAAGCAAAAAATAAGAGCAGAAATATCCATACACAGCACGCACATGCATAGGCATTCTTCACAAGTTCCAAGGTAACAGGAATTTAAAAGCCCCAGAGCATCATTCAGAAGCATACCATGATGGTGTTCCTTAGTCATACTTCCTCCTTATTTTAGTCTTGTTTATGCTATTAAATCTAGGTTAAAATATTGAAGTTACATTAAAAAAAAATACTAACAGAATTACCACATAATGAACAAAACAGAAAATATATTAAAGCTGATTTCGTCAAAGTTAATCGTTCAGATCTTCTGAGTTCTGATACACAGACAAGATAAATGAAAAACAAAATGAAAAAGAAACTAAGTCAGCAAAAAGAATCACGGTCATCAAGTTTCAGCAAAGGTTGTTTTTTTCAATCAAGCAAGTATCAATAAAGAACATCCTGAAATACTTACGGTCTCCCTTCAGTGTAGTGGGAGCAGCAGCTTCTTTGGCAAAGGAACGAACTGGAACTGCATGCTCGGATCGAAGAACAACCTGACCAGCACATAGCTGCAAAACTACATTTATTAATAGGAGTAGTCATCTGGACCAGGAACATATTACACCAGCATATCCAATCACATCTACATCACAAAATTTTACCGCAAAATTCTGTTTCAGACCTAGACACATCCTAACAGCTTAAAGAAAGTGTAGCCTAAATTACTCAAAAGCTAAATGACCACATAGAGCAGTAGCAGTTATTCTCCTAGCAACCACTTCCTTATGGGCACGTACTATTCAATGGAACAACATAAGTAGGCAATGGTAGGAACATCAAATTCAGCTCCTAAGTGATAATTGACAGAGAGAATCTTTCCCCGAAGAAAAAACACAACAGGAGGAAAATAAAAAACATAGAAAATCTCAGGCCAAATTTATTTTCCGAAAAGCAAAAAAGATGGTGATTGGAAACCAACCAGTAATGAAAAGAACAAATATTCTTTTGAAACGGGATCACTCAATCCATCATGCGTCAATATCAAGCAGGCAATTGCAATCTCAATGAAACCTAAAATGTGCTTAATCCTAAGGAACCACAATTATAAATCCGATTACATTTACTGTGCCAAATGCATCTCTGTTAAATCAAACTAAATTCAGTTCAACTGGCCAACAACTACAATCCGCACAACAAATAATGAACATTAACCCTTTAATCCGCAATCAGATCAAACAAATCATGAAACATACCCATTTGCCGCATAAAAAAAGGGGGGGAAATCGATTAGATCCAATTGTACCTGGCGAGTGGATCTGGAGAGCAAGCGAGAAGCGAGTGCCATTGATGAAGTTCCTAGTGAAGTGGTTTTTCTCTACCGGAGTGTTCGTTCACCTCTTGAGGAGAAAGCTCTCTGTTTCTGTTGGGTGTGGCTTTTGATCTTGACCTAGTACTGCTTCATTTCAGCTTTGCAGAGGGACGAGGGCAAAAGATATTCTACGACGTCGTTCCGCTATTCCCACTCCTTTTATTATTGTTTCCCCCTCTATACTTTTGTCTTTCTTTCACATTTGGGACTCAACTTTGTATCCTTTCACTTTTCATCCTCACTTTTGGAGTCGTGCTGTTGGTCAGATAAGGAATTACAGTTTTGAGATTAGATTCGAAATTAGTTTATCCTAACGTTTTGTTGGATTTTTTATTTTGAGATTAGTTATGTCATAATTATGGTAGTAGTATTTTCTCATCTTGAAGTTGAATAACAATTTCAAAATTATTATTTCGAGAATAAAAAACAGAAAAATATATTTGTCCTTCTCTAATATTTTTCTCCCAAATTTTTTAAACAAAGACAAGATTAAAATGAATAAGAAAAGTGTTATCTATTTTAAACCAAACACGTGTTTTATAGTATATCTCATTTTTAATCCAATGGATTGACTATTTAATCTATCAATAAAAGTACATACACCAAATAATTTCATTATTATTACGTTGGGGATTTTAAAAATAACTTTTCTATCTCTACGAGATAATAGTAAAGTATGTTATGTTTTACCTTTCTGGTATTTCACTTGTGGAATTTTTGTATGTTATTGTTGTTGTTGTTGTAATTCTATCATTATTAATTGTAGGGTTGTTTATGGGACGGACCCGACGGATAATTTCGCTTAACGGTTGGCCTTCAGATATCGATTTTTAAATTTACTAATCCACTAGCCAACCTATAAGATATCGATTGGTTCAGTAACGGATTAACAATTATCAAATGGTTATCGGGCGGTGTAACGACTAACCTCTAATCTCTATAGTACCTTTTTTCGACGAACGCACCTTTTCAAAAAGGATGACTTTGAAGTAGTAACAACATAATGGATAAATTGATCCATATTTTCAATTGGTTGTCCCATTTTCATTGCCCAACGAAAGCATCTTTACTAATGACTCGATAAATTGTTGCATACTTTTCATGTACATATTCTCAGTGCTTTTCTAAGTTTGCTGAATTGCTCTCTATTCTTTAAAGCAAAATAGATAATTATTGAGAATTATATAGGTTTTCATGGTTTTATGACTTTAGCTTATAGGAGTTAGGACTAACAAAGAAAAAATATATAATTACTCTTATATATTATGGTAAAATATTAAATGAGCCTAATATACACCCCTAATTAATTGGTTTAGTTTCAATTATATACAATAAAGTAATTAGTTTACAAAAAATATATAGCCATATTTTATTTACATAAAAAAAATAGCCAAAAGTCATTAGAAGTATACATTAACTATACACTATAGCTTGTCAAAAAATCATAGAAACTATACACTAACTATATACAATATAGACCTATACATTAGCTATACACTGACTATACATTATGATACACTAAAAATATTAAATATAGCTTAATTATACATGAAGTATACATTCACAATACATGAAATATACATTGATATTAAATCTCGATCAACTCAAAATCACCTCTAAACATACCCAAATTTTTAGATATGAAATCCTCTCAATATTTTGAGCCTTTTGATATATAATTTGCTTGAAAATATTCACGTTTGCGATATGATAGTTTTATATATTATTTTTTTTATAAAAAAAACTACTACTACTACTACGGAAAAAAAAACACACGCATGAGAAGACGAAGAAGGAAGAAGGAAAAGAAGTAATTGATGACGAAATGGGAAGAAAAAAGAAGATTAGAAGCCATTAATAACGAATTGGGAAGGAAGAAGTTTTAACCAATTTTAATAATTTTGATAATGGAAATAGTTGAATGGTCATTTCTTATAATTTGCCCTTATTAATTCTGGTATTACAATCTTTTCATCAATAGTCTCAGGATAACAGTTAAAGAATTTCGCCCTATATCATGTTGCACAGTGGTATACAAAATCATATCGAAAGTATTCACATCAAGGCTTCAACCAGTGATGGAAGTGCTAATTGATCCCACACGAGCTGTCTTTGTCCCGAAAAACTTATATCTGACAATATAGTGTTAAGTCATGAGATAGTATGTGAAGGGTTATGGAAGGAAGAATGTATCGCCACGATGTATGTTGAAAGTCGACATGATGAAGGCATACGACTCGATAGAGTGAGATTTTATGAAGCAAGTCCTTGATTTTCCTCAAGTCTTCATGATAGGATGGATCATGTATTGTATGACTTTTGTGGCTTACACAATTTTAATAAATGGACAGCCAACTGAACCATTCTCAGCCAAGAAAGGACTAAGGCAATATCACCTTACCTATTTGTTCTAGAAATGAAATATTTATATCGTCTTATATAAACAAGATAAGCTCTATAAGTATCATCCATGGTGTGGACAGCTACAAATAGTGTAACTTGGCTTCGCAGATGACCTCCTCGACCTGGCCTCAGTTCAGAGATTATTTGCTAAACTATAGCAGTTTTCAAGTGTGTCTGGGTCGCAAGCAAATTTACAAAAATCGTCCATCTATTTTGGAGGGGTGAAGCTAGAAATACAGAAGCAAATTGTAGAGCTCCTAGGTATGAAAAAATGAGAGTTGTCATTTAGGCACTAAGTACTAAAAGGATATCCTTGGTCCAATTCCAACCACTATAAGAACGAGTGTAAAGTAAAGTGACATCCTGGACAGCAAAGTTGCTTTCGTATGCAGGTAGAGTACAACTGTTGAAGAGTGTTCTGCTAACTGTCCCAAATATTTCAATTGCCAAAGAAAGTGGTGGAACAAACAGAGAGGATTTGCCGAATGACATGATCAATGAATTTATCCAAGAAAGCGTTAATTATAACTTGGGATATAATGTGTATGCCCATGAGTGCTGGAGGATTGAATCTTCTAAATATAGGTATATGGAATAAATATGCATGCATTATGTAAGTTGTTATGAACCTATGTAACAAAAAAGATAAATTATGGGTTCATTTATACTACATAAAGCTAAGGGAGGAACGGTAGGTGCTACACTAGCTAACCAATTCGTGGCTGGTTAGAAAAATCCTCAAAGTTTCCACATATATGAAAGATGCTGGAATGAATGTACGTATCTGAAGAAATGGGAGTAGAAAAGTTCTCAATACGCCATATATATACTCTAAGTTTATGGGTACTTTAATTTACCTAGAGTGAGTTGGAGGAAGCTTCTGTACTGTAGTAATCCAACCCCTCCAAAATGGCATACTTGGTAGCTAATGGCTATCAGGAATATTCCATATTCCTGTTATGCAGATCCTCCTCTTCAATGCTATCTCCTTATTTGGTGTAGAGATATCTCCCTCTTAATGTATATTATTAGCTTTCCTTATTTGTGGATAATTCCCTTACTAGTTCTTTATTTCCTTTCATGTCGATGTACTCTATTATGTATAAAATAAAGACAATTGTACATCAATAAAAGTAAGACTTACATATAACTCTTTCATGGTATCAGAGCCATAGCCACATGGCAGTAATTTTTTTTTTTTGGGATTGAGCAGATTGGTTTTTGGTTTCTCATGGATGAAAACACCTCCACCACTGCTCCCCTTCCCATTACAACTGAATCAGTTGTTTCTACTATTCCTCCATTACCAATCAATAATAACTTCATCATTCCACCATTGACAACATCCCAAGCCTACCCAAATTTAGTGTTTCCTTCCCAGCAACCCACTGTCACAACAACTTACTCTATTCCTCCCTTACACCATAACCACCAAATACATCCACAATAATCACAC